TAGAACGTTATGTGCAGTAGAAAAATGTTTGATGAAGAAATGCAGTGTATTTCGAAAGCTAACTTGTTTTTAAATAAATAAATAAAGGAAGAGTATGGAAAATAGAAAAAATCATATATTATTAATGAATGGTAATCTTAAAATAAAATTGTATCAGATATAAATATGTATATGAATTTTATTGTAGAACTGGATTGATGATTTTGACTTTTTATACCTGTTTAATTTATTTTATTATTTCTTTCCCTTTAATAAAACTCTAACTTAAAAATTCATGGTTATCGAGAGATTAAAAGCAATCAACTATTCATTGTTTTTTTTGTCTATAAATGCTTTAGAATTCGGTTTGAAAGACTTTTTACATATAGTGCTTTTGTTTATTTTACTGTCTCTGAGTCTTTAATGATACTGTGTTACTCCTACACAACAAGTAAGAAGAAAATAGTAATGATATTTACATCTATAACAAAAATATCTAAAATTTTTGCTTTTAACAAGAGGCTGCCTATGTTTTACGACAATATGAAAGAGAACAGATACAATGGGTAAAGGACGCAAAATCAGTGAAGCAAACAGGATCAAATCGTTCATTATAGTAATACATATAAGCCTATACAGACATCAAGTTTCATAATAGTGTATATTTGAAAAGAAAAAGAAGAACATGAGTGATAAAGAGCCACTATTAAAAAAACACAACAAATTACTTAATGACAATGATAGCGACAATGAAAAGAAAAGGTATGATTTTAAAAAAATACAATACTGATAAATACATAACAAACTCATCATTATTTATAGTTTTTCTGAGTGGCGACAATATTTCAATCAGCAAAAGACTGATGCTAGAAATAAAAAGTTAGATGATGAGATCAATGATACTACGAAAGATATTCCAGTCGGTGTTTTACAATTGGTAAGTATTATATTCAAACATAAAATATCATATGAGAAAGCATGTTGTTTTTCTTTTTAATATATATATATATGAATTAATTTATTTCATTTAATCATAGTTTCGATTTGCTGATTGTATTGATATTCTTCTTATGATTATTACTCTGTTTTTCTTATTATTGCATTGTGTTTGTGTTCTTGGGAATGTAATTCTTTTTGGTCGAATCACGGGATTATTTGCTACTACATCATTTGCTGTTGATTGTGATAATCAAAATCAAAATATAGCATCTACAATTATCAATAATACTGTATGTCCTTTTAGTATTGATCTTAATCCATTAAATTATGATCGATTACATAAGTAATTTGCTGAAAAAAATCTATTTTTAAATATTCTAATTTTGAATCTTTTGAAATATTTCGTTCGTAGATTATGCCATTATGATAATAACACTATTTCATCCACATTAGCTCCATCAACGCCTTTATTTCATGACAATGTTATGCATCTAGTTTATTTATTCTTCGGTAAGTCTATTGAATAGGATGACTTTAATTAAAAAGAACAAATGATTTGTTATTTCTTTGTGTCAATGTAGGTTTAGGTATTCTTGTATTTCTATGTGCTTCGCTTGAATATATCTGTTGGACAATTGCTACGAAACGCCAAACATCTCGCATGAGTGTTTTACTCTTTCGATCACTTATTCAACGTGTAAGTCAAAATTGAATAGTATCGAATTTCTCCTAGTTGACTTAAATTTAGTACAGATCTAATTTATTGAAAAGTTACTAAAATAAATGGTTATAAACGATTAGATTAGTTAAAATACAGTTTATTCTATTTATTTCTCCTGCTCCGTGCCAAGAATAAAACAAAACTAAGTAGATCATTTTGGCCTCGATTTCTGATTTTTTTGTTTTCAAAAATATTTCTCTAATCAACAGACTAATAATTTTAAAAATATCGTTAATATATCAATTACACTATGATTTAAGATAAAATAATATATTATTTCTCTTTCATTCTTTAGAACATGACTTACTTGGATACAAATCAAACTACTCAATACAATTCAAAGCTTTTTACGTAACTAAATATAAAAACTTTATAACAAACAATTATATATGAACAATTTTCTTTACAGTAATATTGAAAAAATCAAAAACGGGATCGGTTTTGAATTCTTAATGGTAACTGGACTTATTCTAGTCATGATTTGCAGTATAATCATATCTTTTATTCTCAATTGGCAATTGTCTTTAATTATGTCTTGTATAATTCCAATTGTTGTTGGTACTTCATTAATATTTGCTAAGGTATAAATTATTATTTAATTCACTAAAATTTTATCAATAATTACAGGTCATCACTAAAGAAACAGAAGCACAATTAAGTACATATTCAAAAGCTGGACAAATCGCTCAAGAAGTATTTAGTTCATTAAGAACTGTTCTTTCATGCAATGGTAGCAAATCACAACAAAAACAGTAAATAAATAAATAAATAAATACATACACAAAGATTTATAGTTTATCGTATCTAGATATGAAAAAGAATTAAAATTAAACGAATGGTATACTGTTCGCAAAGACGCTGCATTTGGTGCTTTTTTTGGTTGGTTATTTTTTATAAATTTTCTCGTTTATTCAATTGGTTTCACTTTTGGTTCGATTCTTATGGCTTATGGAAATCATCGTACACTAACCATTAGTGAGATTCTTGTTGTAAGTAAATTATAACATCAATATACAAGAAAGCAAATGAAAAGAGAACTTTTGTTTAGGTTGTAAATATGTTTGCACAAGCTTTGGGTTTTCTTAATTCAATTGGTCCTTTCTTCCTATCAATTTCGGAAGCTCAAGGTGCAGCAGTATCCGTATTTCGACTTATTGATGAGGTAAAATCGATTGATTACTAGAGACTAAATCGTATATAATAATATTTTCTAATCTATTTTATGATATAGGTACATGATGAAAATTTGAATGAAAAAGAAATATTAGAAGAAAATATATTTGATGAAAAATCAATTTCTAATATCAATGGTGATATTGAATTTGACAATGTTAGTTTTTCATATCCATCTAGAGAAAATCTACTCGCTTTAAATAATCTGAAATTGATTGCTCGTGCTAATCAAACAACTGCTCTTGTGGGTTCAAGTGGTTGTGGTAAATGGTTTTTTTTCTAAAACAAACATAATATTTTAATATTGAAATTGATTGTGATAGGAAAAAGTACATGTGTATCACTTCTTCTTCGCTATTATGAACCTTTCTCAGGCAGAATTATGATTGATGGTCAATCAATTACAGATTATAAGATCAAACAATTTCGACAAAATATTGGAGTTGTTAGTCAAGAACCTGCAAGTTTCTTTCATTTTTGTTTTAGTCTTTGTCAAATTTTTCTATTAAAATAGATTCTATTTGGAATAAGTTTTTATGAAAATATTCGTTTTGGTAAAATGAATGCAACACGTGCAGAGATTGAACAAGCAGCAGAACAAGCTAATGCACATAACTTCATTATGAAATTACCAAATGTTTGTTCTTAAATACTTATATGTACATTTTAATCTTTTTGTTTGCAGAAATATGAAACACTGGTTGGTGAACGTGGTATACAATTGAGTGGTGGTGAAAAACAACGTATTGCATTAGCTCGTGCACTTGTCAAACAACCCAACATTCTTTTGTTAGATGAAGCAACAAGTGCACTTGATAATGTTAGTGAAAAAATTGTTCAAGAAGCACTTGATCGAGCATGCAAAAGTAAGAATTATTTAACTCCTATTGGTTATATTATTATTATTGTTATACTATAGATCGTACAACTATAGTTATTGCTCATCGTTTGACTACGATTCAAAATGCTGATTATATCTATGTATTAGATAAAGGAGGTGTTATTGAAGAAGGTACACATGAAACATTATTGGCAAAAGAAGGAGGGAAATATCAAACAATGGTCAAAATGCAACAATCTAAAAAAACGATTAATACACAAGATGGCTTGATGAATATGGTAGAAGCAGTTGCTGCTGATGAAGAGCAACTAGGTATGTTATTACTATTATATATTATGAACTTGATTTTGTTTTTTTTTGAATAGTGGAACGTGTTCGTCTATTGAGTGAGAGCGAAGCAATTAATATAAATCAAGTAAAAATAAATATCTAATAATTTTAAAAAAATCATTATTAATGTGTAAATTTTTAGAGAGTTTCGATATCAACAAGAAATAAATCAGTCTTTCTAAGACTTCTGAAGATGAATAGTCCTGAATAGATGTTTATCTTAATTGGTTGTTTAGCATGTTTACTTGGCGGATTACGTGGACCAATGTTCTCGATTCTATTCGCAAAAATAATCAATGTGAGTAATTTTTTTCGTATGAATATTCTAAAAAAAGATTAATCATGTGTCTTTTTCTGTCGAATTTTTCTTTTTTTTAGGAATTCAATGATTGTAAATACAGTGATGTACGTCGTCGAGTATTGATTACAAGTGGTTTATTTATTATTATTGGCGCTGTTTTTATGATTATTCATTTATTTCAAGTAATAATATTATTTCTAAACTACAATAATGAGTTTTTTCATGTTCGTTTATAGTTTGTGGCATTTGGAGTCGCAGGAGCGAGAATAGTTAGTCGTCTTCGTTCGAAAGCTTTCGGATGTTTTCTTCGTCAAGAAGTGGCTTATTTTGATCGACCTGAGAACAGTTCCGGTGCTATTTGTACCCACCTCTCTTCTAATGCAGCTGCTATTGAAAACATGGTTGGTTCAAGATTAGGTGTTATTTGTGAAGCTTTATCCTTGTCTATTTTTGGCTTCGTACTTGGCCTTTTTTTCAACTGGCAATTAACAATAACCATAGCTATTCCTGTCGTTATCATAATGATCGTCACTATTATCCAAATACGATTGAGTTCTTGGTTGAAGACACAATCTGATCTCATTTACTCTCAGGCTGGCACGGTAAAATCATGTTGTTATTCAAAATCTTCTAATGCATAGTAGAATTACGTTATTATACATTATTTGATCAAATGATTATTAAATATTCATTCTATGTTTTGTATTCTTTAGCTTGCTGTTGAAGTTATTAACAGTATGCGCACAGTAAAACAATTATCAATGGAAAATGAAGTTTCACGACAATACTCGAATATGATGGATCAAGTATTAACGTTAGTCTTATGAATACTCCTCATATATATATATTTGAGAAAAGAAGCTATAGTCGATTATTTAAGTAAATTACTATCATACAAGAAATAAATCTAAGTTTTTCCATCATTTTGTGTATTTAGATTATAACTAGCTGCAATGAAGTATTCCTTATAATAGATAGATTCTACACAAAGTGCATTTTATTATCGTTTGCTTAGCTAATTTTTAAGATTCTTGATTACTATGCAAGAAATTCTTTATCAAAAATTTAAATTCGATGCGAATTTATAATTTTATTATGAAAAAGAGCTTTTTTTGCATAATAATGAAAAATCATAAAAACTAACTGAGAAAACAGTAGTAAAGTTGAAACTTTATCGAATATAACCCTTTTCTTTTACAGATATTGACTACAATGTTCAATAAGTTTTCTTTTATATAGGATATTTTGGAAACCCGAGGTACTGTTTTCAGCAGCACTTGGATTGTACTGGGCGATGAATTCGATCGCTTTGGGACTTTTATATTGGCGTGCTTTGGTACTTGTTGAAAACAATGAAATAGACATGAGCGATGTTGTTATGTAACTAAAATAATAATTTTGATAATTTATAAATTAAGTTTTATTATTTTATTTTTATTTTTATAGGACTTCTGCTTTTGGAATGTTCGCATTAGAATCACTAAACGTTGTTGGAATGTTGTAAGATATAGAATTTATGTTTTTTTTTGTTTTTGTTTTTATTATTTATTACTTCAGAGCCGAACGTATTGGCGAATCATTTGCTGCTGCTCACGCATTTTTTGATCTATTTGATCGAATACCAATTATTGATAATGGATCTAATAAAGGCCAGGAATTAGTAAAAGAAAAAAAAAACTATTGTCTTTTAATTGTATATTGTAATTTTGAATTATTTAGGCTAACTTTAGTGGAGAAACAAAATTTAATCAAGTTAAATTTGTTTATCCAACTCGTCCAGCAGTTCTCGTTCTTAATAAACTTCAATTATCTATTAAATCAGGTCAACGTATAGCTCTTGTTGGTATGTGTAAATAAATTATACATTCTAGTTTATTAATCATATAATATAATATAATCGATTTAGGTGCATCTGGATGTGGAAAATCAACAATAGTTCAATTATTAGAACGATTTTATGATGTTACACATGGAGAATTAGTAAGTATCTATTTTCTTTATCTATAATTCAAGTATTTATATAAAATTTATTAATATAAACAAGCTTCTTGATGGTGTTGATATTCGAAAATTAAATCTTCAATGGCTTCGTTCTCGTCTCGGTGTTGTTAGTCAAGAACCAGTTTTATTTGATTTAACAATTGCTGAAAATATAGCATATGGTTTAGAAAATATACCAATGGATGAGATTATACTTGCTGCAACTAAAGCTAATATTCATCAATTTATTCAACAACTACCACAAGTTAGATTAATATTTAATTATATTGATTATTTAATATATACTATTGTAGGGTTATGAGACAAAAGTTGGAGTAAAAGGTAGTTTTTTATCAGGTGGTGAAAAACAACGT